TTTAGCAGTCTTCTGTATTCAGAAATTCGGACAGGATATATTTTCCAAGTCTTCATTTCGAGTAGAGTCTAAAAGAATATTAACACAAAATAATCTTTCTAAAATCAAGAAACTGCATTTTAGCAGTCTTCTGTATTCAGAAATTCGGACAGGATATATTTTCCAAGTATTCATTTCGAGTAGAGTCTAAAAGAATATTAACACAAAATAATCTTTCTAAAATCAAGAAACTGCATTTTAGCAGTCTTCTGTATTCAGAAATTCGGACAGGATATATTTTCCAAGTATTCATTTCGAGTAGAGTCTAAAAGAATATTAACACAAAATAATCTTTCTAAAATCAAGAAACTGCATTTTAGCAGTCTTCTGTGTCCAGATATTCAAACAGGTCATATTTTTTCAAGTTCTCATTTCACAAAGGGTCTGAAAGAAGAAAGACGCAACATAATATTTCTAAAATCAAGACAGTGCGTTTTAGCAGTCTTCTGTATTTAGCTAAACTTAGAAAATTTAAAGATTAGCAATTGTGAGTGCTTATGCATACAAGTGTGTGTATGATTTATATATATATATATATATATATATATATATATATATATATATATATATACATACAGAGAGAGAGAGAGATAAAGCGGGAGAGAATTAAATTAAGTAAACACTGACTTGAAAATAGAGAGAGAAAGAGGGAGCAATAAAGACAGAAAAGACGAAGCGAATAGTGAAAAGAAATCGGACGATGAGGAGGAAGATGCGCCAAATTAATAAAAAAAAAATAAAGAAAAGGGGGATAAAAGAGGTGATTGAATTTGTGTTCAGTTATAATAGTATCAGTAACAATAGTAACCTAACCCTTTTGGGTTGAGAATGAGAAATCTTTGTTTCGCGCGAAGATGTTAATGTCAGGCTAAGTCGTTGAAGGATCGCTTGACATTTGCAGCACCTGCCTCTAAAGGTTAACATCTTTGTTTACAAACAGAACTCAAGGTGGGACGCTGTTTGTAAGAAAATGCCTGGATGAGAAAAAGGTCTCTCACATCATTTACTATGGTATAAAAATAATGTCGCACCTATCGATTCTGAGCGAGGTCGCTATTTACTGTTGCGGATTTTACAAGTCTAGTGGCAAACAAAAAGAAAATATGAATGTTTTTTTCTTTACAACTGGAAGAACGTCGACTATAACTTTCACGTAGAAAAAGAAATCAGAAAATGTGAGATGAATTATTTTATCATGGGTTTTCATCATTTAATTCTTGTTTTTCCCCTCTGAAATTTCAATAAGAAAGCAGGTCAATAAGTTCATTGTGTAACACTTAAAAGTACACTCTATCTCAAAATTTACTATTTCCGGTTTGGTGCGTTTTGGCGAATCTGATTGGACGGTGGCGTTTTGCCATTTGTTAGAATTTTGAGTATGGAGCCAATGTTTCTGGTCACAAAACCGAAATTTCAAGTCGCTGTCAGCTTTGCACAAGTGTTTTGTTCTTCTGCTATCTTTTTATTTATTTTTAACTAAATATTATCGTTTATCAAAATAATAGTTGGAGGTATTAACAAAATGTGATTATGGAAAAATGCGCATGATGGATTCCTCTACGTCTCTGACGAAAACTAGAAATTTTGGCGTTTTGAGCCAAAAAATCGCCGTATTCAGATCTATTTCAGTGAAATCCGATTTTTAAACGCTATACTCACATAAAGATGGAGTAATTTTAGTGTACACTGCTGGGAGAATTCGAGATATAGCTGAATTGATAAATATTATTACTGATGTGGTTAAACAAAAGTATACCTCAAATGCTGGAAAATGTGTTTTATGAAGCATCTTATTGTTCTGAGGTTTGTTGAGACACTGAAGGTCGCCATGTAGACCAGTAAATATTATCAGCATGTACTTTGAAATAAAATTATTTTTCATTTTCAAATCTACTTTTTAATAATTCCAATTAATCCTTGAATTAGATACAGGATTAGAAACAGTGATACTATTATAAATGAACGCAAATTCAATCACATCTTTTATCCCCCTTTTCTTTCTTTTTTTTTTTTTAATTTGGCGCATCTTCCTCCTCATCGTCCGATTTCTTTTCACTACTCGGTTCGTCTTTTCTATTTATTATTGCTCTCTCTCTCTCTCTCTCTCTCTCTCTCTCTCTATATATATATATATATATATATATATATATATATATATATATATATATATATATATAATTATACACACTTTGTATGCATAAGCACTCACAATTGCTAATCTTTAAATTTTCTAAGTTTAGCTAAATACAGAAGACTACTAAAACGCACTCTCTTGACTTCAGAAATATGATGTTGTGTCTTTCTTCTTTCAGACCCTTTGTGAAATGAGAACTTGAAAAAATATGGCCTGTTTGAATTTCTGAATACAGAAGACTGCTAAAATGAAGTTTCTTGATTTTAGAAAGATTATTTTGTGTTAATATTCTTTTAGACTCTACTCGAAATGAATACTTGAAAAATATATCCTGTCCGAATTTCTGAATACAGAAAAGGATTAGTATCCGAAATTCTTGGAACCGGAAGTCTTTCGATTTTCGGATTTGACGGCAGTCAGCTCTCTGCGGCATTGTAATATTAAAAAAGAATAAAACGCACGTATCCACGTACACAGTCAAAATTATGTCGATCTTTGTTCAATTTTGGTTTACTCTGGTAGGGAATTCGAGATTTTAGCTGAGCTTAGAAATATTATTAATGACAGTTAAAAAGCGTGTTACAGGATGCACTTATTACTTTGAGATTTGTCAAGACACTGATGCTCACCATCTGGAGTACTAATTCTTTACAGCATATACCTTGAAATAAATATATTTTTCATATTTCAGCCAGTTTTTCATATTATTCCTCGAAATAGATAATACTATTTGAGATGACCTCTATTTGTTTTGCAATGATATATATTGATTAGAACAACATAATCTACGTCCAATGCAGTTAATTCGGTTGTGACTATTGAACTCTATGTGTATCTACCGAGGATGTATCTATGCCATCAAAATTTTTTTTCAACAAAAAGATACAGAACAAATTTTATAAATTATTTATTTCATAAAATAAGAAAGTAATAAGATTCTGGCTCCGATAAAAACGTTTTGTTGATATTAAAAGAATCCGGGTTCAAATGTCTATATTTTTCTTTTAAATTAATAAAATAATATCCTACTCACTGAGCGATTGGAGAGTTACACTTTCCCGAAAGAATTGTCTTCAATAATCTTCTTTTATTGCCCTTTCTCCTCACAAGTTTTCTCATTCTCTTTCATTCCCATTATACTTTTGTGTCTTAGTGGCATTGTCACCTTGCTTAGGGGTGAAATGATTAAAACAAGAAAGAATGATCTGTTTCGCCACGTAAAGGCGAATGAAAGGGGAAGTCTTTCCTTTTTTAAAAACATATAAAAATAGTATTTTTAAAAGCATATAAAAACGATTGTCAGCTGCTCTGCTACAACCTATATCCTCTACAGCCAATCATCTGTGTTTCCTGCTGCAGTTGGGTTCATGAGACAATTAATCACCTAAATCGAATTCTACACCCCAACAATTTTAATTAAAAATTCACTAGTAATTATATCAGGCTATGAATTTAAATGATCTATCTTTTTATATAAACACATGTAAAGTCTGTAAATTAATGAGGAAACCTGATTTTTATGCATATATTATATATTTAATTTTAGTCTTAATCCCATTTATACGTAATGCGCTTAATCTATCTATCTATCTATCTATCTATCTATCTATCTATCTATCTATCTATCTATCTATCTTTTAATGAGACGTACAAGTCAACCTAGGCGTACATGTCGACTTTTATCTCAGAATTCTGAGTTCCGTCTATATCTGCCATATAGGTCGTACGGTAGGCTTCCAGGGGTCTAAAAGCTAGGCTTATCGTTAACTGAAGTTAGGCTACAGTATAGGTTAACTTGTGCCAAAACTACATAAGGTCACACCACTTAGCTGTATATTGAGACACTAACCGTAATATCTTTGTACATGCGTTGTATAGCAAACAACCTACAACACAATCCGTTAGGTATCTTATATTGTATTGGTATAACTTAGCGAACATTTAGTGTATCAGCTGTTCGATGCGATGTGTTATGTAGCGATAATACTATACTATAATACTAAAAGATAATACTACTGAATTTGTGTTACTAATTTATTATTTTATATTAATTCATGTATTAATATGCCAATTATGTTCACTAAATACAAGTTTTAGTAGGATATACTTGTGGCAGCCTACTGGGGATTGTGTACTGTAATTTATTTAGAGTGCTGTCCAACATGTTTTGCAAGTCGGTGGTAAAGGTTTGCATTTTATCAGCCATATAAGTCGATACTTAGTTTTGAAGATATTTCTTTAGGCTTGAAAATTCGACGTGTACGCCGCAATTTACGGTATCTTTCTATCATGGTGAGATTTCTCTTCCATATTTTTAAAAATAAAGATGAAGATATCTGCTTTTCAGATTTGTTAACGTTTTCTATTAAAAAAAAAACAAACAAACAAAAAAACTCGGATACTTTGTTTTTACAACTCTAGGGAAAGAATGATTCATATGTTAATGAATTTTTTCATGGCTTCATTTAACCCGATAAAAGATTGAATAAAAATTGGGATGTCGGTTGATATGGTAACTAAACGATAAAGCAATAGAAAAGTGAAAAGAAAAGAAAGATAGATTAGAAATAGACGGGAAAAAGAAAGAAAGAGAGAAGGGAAGAGTGTGTGGTAGAGAGAACAGAGTGGATGGAGACAGCGAGGGTTGAAGAAACAAAGAAATCGAGTAAGGATTAATTAAAACTGACGCGAAACAGTGAGTAGAAAAGAAAAAGGAAAAGTTAGATAAAAAGAAGAATGAAGAAAAAGAAGAGAATGAAAAGATATCGGATTGTACAGAATTTGGGCGAGGATGAAAAACAACGAAAGAGAGGAAGGCGGAAAGGAATCAAAAAGTGAAATACACGTAGGAAAGAAAGAAAGAAAGAAAGAAAGAAAGAAAGAAAGAAAAAGAAAGAAAGAAAAAGAAAGAAAGAAAAGAATGAAATAGGGTCAAACAAGAAGAATTTACAAAAAGAGTTAACGTGAGACAGAAAGACAGAAAGGAGGAAAGATAGAAAGGAGGAAAGGCAATAAGGAAGAAGTAAAACGAGGGAAAAGAATAAAGAGAAGAAAATCGCAACAGAAAGGAGGAGGAAAAAGGAAGAAAGAAAAAAGAAGGAAAGTAAGAATTACAAACGAAGAGAGAGAGCGAAAGAGAGAGGAAAAAAGGGATGAAGTAAAACGAACGAAAATAAAATAGATAAGTGAAAGAGGATAGTAACTAGAAAGAAGAAAAGAAAAAGAAGGATAGAAAGTAAAAGAGAAAAATAAAAGTGAATATGAAGGAAGGAAAGAAAAGATAGAAAAAGAGAGAAAAGGTCATATTGTCAAAAAAAGAAAAAGAAACGATGGCAGAAAAAAACAAGACAAGTTATACGGAAGAAAAGTAAAGAAAAGGATCGAAGATAAAAAAAAATAGAATGAAAGTAAAGGAAATACATTAAATAAAGCAAAGACAAAGAAAGGCAATGCTTTTAGAAGAAAAATCGAAAAAAAAAAATGATTGAAGAAGGAAATAAAAAAAGATGAAAAGCAAGGAAGAATAAACTAAAAAAAATGTCCAGTAAAAAGAAAGTAAAGAAACATTGCAAGACAAGGGAGAAAGAAAGAAAGCAAAACAAATGGCAGAGGAAGAAAAAAGAAAAAGAAAGAAGCAGGTGTAAAAATAGAGAAAACAGTAAATGAATGACTATATAAATATATAAAAAGTAAAATTAAAAGAAAATAAATAGTAATTGAGAAATGATGCCGAATGTTAAGCAAATTTTATTTGGCTTAAAACTTGTTTTTGTTGTGATTGTCGTAATCAGAGAATTCCACTTTAATTATATTTTTATTTTGAATTTTAACTCGTTTTATTTCTGCTGCTTTGTTTTCTCTCAGGCGTCAGGCGAAATCTATCTTCTCAATTTGCGAGTGATGGGAGCTGCTGTTGGTTGAATAATAAATAAGGAAGAAAGAAATTGACGCATGAAATGAATTTAATCAACAAAAGGATGAATCTCAGTGATGAAGAAAGAAAGAAATACAATTAAAGCGAGAAAGAAAGAAAATAGAAAGAAAGGGAAGTTAAATCAATAAATAATTAAATAAAGAAAGATTGCCAAATTTAAAAAAAAACAAAACTGACCACTGAGTAATGGAAGTTAAAAAATGACTTATTAGAGAAAGAACGGGAAGTTAAAAATAAGAAAGATATTATCAAAGAGAGAAAGGAAGGGAAAAGATGATCAAATATCAAAAGGAAGTTAAAGAAAGAAAGAAAGAAAGATGATCAGAAAGAGAAAGGGAACTTTAAGAAAGAGAAGAAGATGACGAAAGAAAGAAAGAAAGAAAGAAAGAAAGAAAGAAAGAAAGAAAGGGGAGTTAAAGAGAAAAAAACCGCAAAACTGACCAATTGGAGAAAAAAAAAACGGGAACTTAAGAAAAGAAAAATTATCAAATAAACAAAGAAAGAGAAGTTAAAGAAAAACTAAAAGGGAAAAATGAAAAGAAAGAAAGGTGAATTAAAGAAAGAAGGGAAGACGGACAAAGCGAGAAAGAAAGGGGAATTAGAGTAAAAAAGAAATACATATGACCAAAGAGAGGAAGAAAAGAGAGATGACCAACGAGAGAATGAGCTGAAGGTCAAGAAAGAAGAAGGAACCGTAACAGAAAGGATGCAAAATAAGCAAGGAACGAAAGACAGGAAAAATACAATATATTCTATACATTATGAAACAATATATGATACACATAATAACATGCAATATACGATATACACTCTGAAATGCAATATGTGATATACCTGATAACATGCAAGATACATTAGATGACGATATGATGCACATATAAAATATATGACATTAATCATGAGAATATATATATATATATATATATATATATATATATATATATATATATATATATATATATAGTGCTGTTCGCTAAAAAGTAACTCACCTTATCCTTTGAATTTAGCTCAACATTCGTTTCATCGGAGAAGAGAACTTTTTTCCAGTCATCTATGGTGAAATTTTTGTAATAGTGAGCCCATTGAAGTCTGTTGGCATTGCTTATTAGCGGCTTAAACCTTCGTGTACAACATTTGTAGCCTTGTTCTAACAGCCGCCAACGGACTCTTCGCTTAGACTGGCTGCAATTTCTTGGCTATTTATAGTCCTATTCTTCACAACTTTCTCTCTGGATTACCCTGCCAGTTCTATCATCAATCTTTTTCTTTCGCCCCCTTGTTTCCTTCCTTGGAACAGGAGTAGCATCATTATGTGCCCTAAGCACTCGAGAGAGTTGATTGCGAGGTTATAGCAATTTCTGCAATTTCTCTTGTAGACTTGCCTGCTTTTCAGAGGGCAATAATAGATGCCTTAAGTTGTTCTGATGCGTGTTTGTACCCTTTCATCTGGTTAGTGACTGGAGTGGCTATTTCATGCTGTTTTTATACTGTATGAGGCTTTCTGGAATATTCTGGAATACTATAGACTTAATTTAAGCTGTTCTAGAATTCTGTAGAATATTGTTCTGGGTTTATTGTAAAATAGTTTTCAATATTTTGTCAAAAGCTCTTTAATTTTACCAGTTTAATCATTAAAATGCGATATCTGAGTTACTTTTTTGCACATCTATATCCAAATTTATAATTATCAATAGAATACCTTAGGGTGAATATACTTTTTTTTCCTAGGTGGTCCGGAAAGGGGTCTTTATATTAGGAAGATTATATATATATATATATATATATATATATATATATATATATATATATATATATATATATATATATAGTTGAAGATCAAATGTAGATCAGATATGCATATGATTCCGATAAGATGAGAAAATCTCAATCTAACATTTTTCACTTTTATTTATTTTCTTTTATCATAATAATTTGGCACGCTCAAATCACCGCGTTAATAACAAATATAGCGCCAGTTTGTTTACATTGCGCAGATCAGAACGAAAATTTCAGTGATTGCGCAGCTCAGTGTTGCCAACATTGTGTGAAAGTATTGTGTGAATTGTTTGGATGGTTTTTGAAATATTAGAAAAAAAGTTATCTCATAATAATTTGGCACACTATATATATATATATATATATATATATATATATATATATATATATATATATATATATACATACACTGCTTTGTTGAACCAACTCCCAAGTGGCTCTTGTTTGTTTCACTGGGCTTTGGGCATTTTAAAGTGTATAAAAGCATTGGTTGATAAGATACTTGACCTAAAGGGTTGCGATTTCATTACCTGGCCACAGCAGAAAGAACAAAAACTTAGAGAGTTGAGTTGATAAAGGGAATTAAATGAAATAGAAATATCCCCCAAAATAAAGGTTTCGATTCGAAATTCCAGCGTATATCACTTGAAGAATGCCGTATGCCAATAAAGATTAAGACAAAAGTCCGAATGATATAAACAGTGTATATATATATATATATATATATATATATATATATATATATATTGGTCATTAAAGATATCTTATTGGAATTCTCCGGGATTTTTATAAAACTATTGGAGTCTACTTTGAACAATAAAAAAGTATTTAACTCTAAATTGAAATAATGACCCCCCTCTACTGTTGTGATCTCCTGATCCAATTCTCCTCTTTACTGTTCCTTCTTTTTTAAACTTATTCACCGTTCTCTTGATGGTTCTTGAATGGACATTGAAGATGGAAGCCAGTGTATGAATGTTCGTACCATTACTGAAGGCCTGAACGATATTTTTCCTCTCACCATTTCTCAGTTGGGAAGATATAATGGAGCTGACACAATCTGTTCTCGCTGAATTAATCAAAAGTTTTTTCAGTGATTCTTTTGGCATATAGTTAAATGTCTTATCTGAAAACCTAGAAAAAAAAAGTCAATTAGTTTAGTGTTTTTTTTTTTATATTAAACATTTTGTTTGATGCAAAATTATGCTGTAACACAATTTAGAAAACTTTGCTCTTACCCTCGATAGATATATTTATATGTTTCTTATACATTCATTCTTCTTTTAGTATATCATAAGATTGTGATGTATGATATACTCTATAGGACAAGATGTGATATATATATATATGATAACAGGCAATATATATTATACACTATGTGAAGGCATATATATATATAATTTACAGTGTAGGATATAAACTATATGATACGATATTATATACATTTTAATACAAAATATATGTATATATCATATATTATATGCTTGGCTCTTCGAACCAACAGACTTAAAACGTTTCGCCTATTGTATCCTCAGGATTCTTCATTCTCAGTAATTTTGTATTTAATTCGGGTGTAGACTTCAATGCTGAGAGGATATTTCATCTCCGTGAATACTGGCCGCCAGCTTTATGATATTTGGATCGTTGTTTGCTCTGCTTTACCTCCATTACCCGATGCAATTGACAATTGCCTGGGAACCAGATGTGTTAAGCTACTTCTTAATTCACTATGTCATGCCTGATTTAGGTGGTGGAATTCTTTTGGGTATAATTTCTTAATCACGTACTCATCTCAATGAGAGGTGAAAGATTGATTCTGAGAAGGTTGTCAGGGATTAACATGTGCACTGATTTCTTCAGGCATCATTCAGTGTTGTTCGCTGTCTTAACTTCATTCTACAGCAGATGATGACTACACTTTTATCACTATATAGGATCAGCTATTCCTGATGTCAAATTTTCCCTCACATGGTCAAAAGCTTTTCGATCTCATTTCATGTAATATTTCTCCCCATAAATATTTTTCATTATTATAATGATTATATTTCCTGCGTATCGGATATTTCAGGCCAGGTATTCCGTAAATTTACAGGTTACAGTCATTTCAATAAATTTATACAGGTGCATCTGGGTAGCTTTGCTTAAGACAAAGGCAAATCGAAAAAAGTATGATGGAGATTATCCTGCGCTATTCTTCATATTCCTGGATTTTGATCTGAGCTCAAAAATCGAGTCGTCATGGGAAAACGACCATTGATTGAATTTTTTTAGTCTATTTAAACCGTAAACCTATTTTTTGGATTGTAAGCCTAACCCATCTTTTTGTGAATGAATATTTATATATAAAGGTTTTTAGAGATAATAATTATTTTCAGATACAAGTCATATATATAACCCATAGCTTGAGGGAAAAGATGTGAATTAAGAGATTTCCAAAAATCGGATCTCCAATTTCTTATTTTTTGTCGTTATCATTTATATCACTCGCATATCCAAGGATACAGCACCTGGTATTCCCAAGCGGTTACTCATCCAGGTACTGACAAGACCTTGCTTAACTTCGCTAATCGGACAAGAACATGATAAGTCCTTAAATCTGCAATAAGCTTTTGGATATTCACTAAAAGTTGAGGAGGCAAGTTGGCGTAATGGTTAACAGTTCGGATTGAGGAATCAGAGAATCGAATTCTAGTTGAATTTATTACATTCACTTAAGAGTAAAAAACCTTAACTCTTTTACCGATTTTATATTATTACTAGCAGCATGGCCCGGCGTTGCCCGTGCTTGATTCAAATATCGTACGACTCATACAGCAATCGCTATCACTTGACTTAAAATATTTTTGCCCTTCCTTGCCTTTAAAGGAGTGTCCTTTGCCGTGCTGATGTTGCTACATGCCTTACTTCTTGCCTATCTCACACTGCGAATTTTTTCTAAGCTCTATACTAAACATTAAATCTGTTACGAAAAAAGAACTAAGCAAAATGAACACAAAACGATCAGCTTTAAAAAAGGACTCGTAACTGGATAAATCGAATGAAAAAAGAATGTTAACAACAAATATTTTTTCACACCCAACCCAGTTCTGCAGAATCAGAATCAACGTTGAGTTTAAGCAAGCGAATAAGCCAATTGGAGTTAAGTGCCATGCAGATTTAAATTTTTCCCACTTGTGACGAATGCAACTATCGATTTTTTTTGCATGCTAGTATGCTAGTTAACATTCGTGTCAGTCAGCTGTTGGCTCTCATGCTGGCCAATAGAATCTTCCTGCCTATTCGTGGCAGCCAGCTATAGGCTCTCACTCTGCCCAGTACAAAATGGCCGCAAACTGCAGGAAAACTGCCGTAGAAGCATGAAAACATTGATTATTTCCACTATCGATGGGAGTTGGAGCATGTGCATGTAAATTTTGGTGCAAATCTGTCGGAAATTGCGGTTGCGCATTCGTTACACACACACACACACACACACACACACACACACATCCTGCCTTTTATAGATGGAGATGAGTAAAAAAAGCAGGACAGACTACTCTAACTTTGGGTGGCAAACCAATCTAAGAGAAGGAAACTCTGAATTCAAACTATCAGCTGTTTTCGAGGGCCTGCTTCTTTAGGCAAAGGCTAGAAGAAGGTAAGTTCTAAAACAAATTCTGAGATGAGATACGGAATAAACTCAATATCCTATGCGCAAAAGTAACCGGTAGACTATTGCACGATTCTGTCTGGAATATTGCCATGAACCACAATTGTGAGAAGGAGGTGCTTGTTAACCACAACGATGCAAAAATGCGCTGATTAAAACTAAAGAAACCTTTCACCGCTCAAGAACAAATAGTAGGAAACAGAGGGTGAAGATTATGCTACAACAGGTTTCCAATTGCGAGG